GAAGAGAGGTACTGCAATAACGTAAAATATGTGAAAAATAATGTTTTTTGAACGTTTAAGCATAAAAACTAGTAGACATTCTAGTAGACCCCAAAAAACAAAACCAAGACTTTAAGGGCTTAATATGTCCGCTTTAAATAGAGACACTATTAAAACCACATATTACTAGAGTTTTGAGAAAATAAAGAATCTGACATTTGTATAATGGCCTTCTGGAAAACTTAATGGCTAAATAAAAACCACATTAAAATTATTGCAATGTTCCTTAATTCTGCCTCGCCCCAGCAAAATCATGACAAATTGTGTATGTTCACAATAAAGCTCAGCCATATGTGGTAGCCGCATAACTGCTCAGTTGCATATATTTGCATAAAGACTTATTGCAACAGATATGTCGCATCAAATTGCTAAAATTAATTACTTTTGGTTGCTACATTGCTGTCAGTTTGAACTTCCCTAATCAAGATCAGCTCTTATTTTGGCAGCTTGCTCGTTTGCGTCTAACAAGTTCAACTAATTTATGTTTTCACCATGACAGATTAGAGGATCAGATGGATCTGTCCACTTCGAGGGAGAGGACGGGCATGAAAGTGACATCTTTCAGGTGCACATCAATGATGAACATCAAGACCCAGAGAAGTCCCCCGGTGCTGGGGAGGAAGACAGAGAAGCTGTTGTTGTATTAGACGACCACTGTCAGCTGGACACAGGCATAGATGAGCCCAATATGGAGGGGCGAGCCAAAGGTAACGGCCTCCGAGGGCCGGGCCGCATGTGGAAACGACGCAACGGAGAGCACAGGGGAGGCAGAGGAAGAGGCTTTAAACACAGAAAGCGGTACACCTTCAAGGACCGCAAGCTCTTGGGTAACTATCAGGAAGCTTGGCGCTTTCCAACCCCAGATGAGATCATGGGTAGTTTTGGAGCGGACTTTGGGGCCAATTACCTGTCCAATCAACATCTTGCCGACGGTACCCTCCGCGTTGACTACAGGGCTGGAGAGGGACAAGGAGTAGAGATCGGCTCCGATGGAGCTCCTGCACATTTCGGTGTGGAAGCTTCCAGCGGGGAAGAAGCAATGGGAGTCGGGGCGCCTTCGAATGAGCGTGGAGCTGCTGACGAGTCCGTGGCAGTGGTGGGATCCACGTCATGCGTAACAGGACCAGTAGTGTGTGAGCATTGCGGATTAGCGTTTTCCTCAACACAGGATTTAGCCATGCATTCCCTGTCGACACACAGGCTATATGTGTGTCCATGCTGTGGGAAGAACTTCAGCCACTCCAGTAACCTCAACCGCCACATGATCGTCCATCGCGGCTCTTCAAAGCTCCACTGCTGCCCCCTGTGCCACAAGACCTTCACTCAGAAGTCAACACTGTGCGACCACATGAACCTGCACAGCGGGGAGCGCCCGCACGTGTGCGCATACTGCCACGTCAGCTTTGCCCACAAGCCTGCTCTACGCCGCCACCTAAAGGAGCAACACGGAAGGACCACAGCCCAAAACTACCTGGAGATGCAGCGAAACAATGAGGGCAGTGTTGGGGGTGGAGTTTAGATCACATTTTATCATCGGTAGTGTGGGTTGTTACAATGAAATCAAAATTAACCTTGTTTTGTTTCTTAATACACGTTTGTAGGCTTATTGTGCATAATTTATCAGTGCACATTAGAAAAAAAATGTTTGTCTTCGTAATCAATATATAAAAACTTTATGGTTGCTTCAAAATGATTTCGAATTGTCATTGTGCAGGCCAAACACTGCCAAAGCATTTGCTCTTTAGCCTGGAGAAACAAAATGATAGTGCCCTTGTTAAGACCAATTGCCACTGCACATTTGACACTGACCAAGGGCAACAGACACTTCTCTGGGTTTTGCCATTGTTGGTATTGGTCGGCACTTGTTTGGCATGTTTAATTAGCATTTGTCGGGTAGCAGAATGTCTGAGAAGGGACGTACTGTCATCTGGGGGATTGCCTGTGTTGGTCGCCGTCTATAGCCTCGTTCACACTACAAGCGACAAAGCGACACAATACCATTCATTTCAATGGGGAGTGGGCGATTTCCGGCGACCGTTGGCGACCGGATGGGGCGTGTCTGGCGACGCGACAAAGTTGAGATCTGTTTAACTTTATGCAAATGAGGAGCGACTTTCGGGAGCGACAACCAATAGGAGCGGAGCGCGTGTGATCCTTCTCCACATCATTGGATGTCATTCATAAAGGCAACCAGTAGTGGGAACTCCCACTAGCGACCTCATCGCCAGCCACTGGCGACATGCAGCGACAAAGTCGCTTGTAGTGTGAACGGGGCTTATCAGTGCAGTGTGAATTGGCCTTTATATTCACTTATAGGGACAGTTTACCCAAAAATGAAATTCTACAATTTCCTTGTCAGGCGTCTCCAACCTTATTTCATTTGAGAGCTAGTTTTTAAAAATTAAAGTGGCTGAGAGCTACTCATGTTATTCAATACTTAAATCTCTCAAAGAATGTATCATAACTCTCAAATTAACAATCCATGAAAATAGTGTTTTTTTCTGTTTTTTTCTGAATGAAGATTTCTTCTTACTCATCCTGATGTAAACAAGCCTTGTTGCCATATGAGCATGATGATGCTGATTGAATCTTCAATGTCCCAATAAGGTTTATTTCTTTTGTTGGTTTTTATTCTTTTATATTACATGTTCATAAATAAATAAATAATCTTCACGGCTGATATGTCAAATACTTCATATCCATTGGAGGGGGTGGGACACTATTAGCTCAGTCTGATTGGATAAAAAGGACTACGTCTTGGCGAGCTACCTTAAAGGGATAGTTCACCCAAAAATGAAAATTCTGTCATCATTTACTCACCCTCAAGTTGTAACCAAACAGGTTTGATGGGCTCCATTGACTTCCATATTATGGAGGAAAAAAATACTATGAAAGTCAACGGGGCCCATCAACTCTTTGGTTACTCAAACTTTTATGTTCAGGAGAAGAAAGAAATTCATACAGGTTTGGAACAACTTGAGGGTGAGTAAATGATGACAGAATTTAAATTTTTTGGGTGAACTACCCCTTTAAATCAGGCCATGAGTGACGTGTTGGAGACCCCTGCCTTATGTTCTAAACCTCAATTACTTTTTTCTGTGAAGCATAGAAGATATTTTGAAAAGTGTCCTGGTGTTTTTTTTATTTGTCCAAACATTTAAAATCAACAAGGTCCAATATTGTTTGAACCTCAACACTCTTATATTTTGAAATATTGACAGAATTTCTATTTTTGGGTGAACTATCTGTTTATACCACACAAGAGCACAAATACTACGGTTTTCTGTTTCTCTTTATGGGTTAAAGGTCACTTACTACAAGTGAGCAGACAATAATGGACACCAAGGGAAGGTCTAGCATATCTCTTACTTGTAAGAGTGATAAACATGTTTAATACAAACAAAATGTTCATGAATTAGTACTGTGCGTGATAAGGAAAGTAAGAAAACGTGTTTGTTATTTTTGCTGTAGTGCAATTTTAGTGTCTGTATGTCGCCAATCCATGAAAGCCTTAATAAAAAGCTTTTGTTCCAACTGTTTTTCTCTTGCTGTGAATTCATTTTACATTGCCGGTCACCTTAAAGGCGAAGTGTGTAATTTTATTATTTACTCGCCCTCATTACATTACAGACATCTATGAATTTAATCTGCGGAATACAAAAACCAAACAGCTTTGGTCACCATTGACTTCCATTGAATGAAAAAAAAAAAAAAAAAACACGAGATATTTCTCAAAATACCTTATGTGCCACAGAATAAAATTAGTCATACAGGTTTGGAATGACATGAGGATATGATAACAGAATATTCTTCTTTTTTTTTCAGTATATCCAGTCAACCACCATTCGTTTCCTCTGCTTCCTAGAGGCTGCTGTCCAACATTTGAACGCTATATTCCAGTTCACAGCCTGCTCTTCCTATCTGGGTTCTTCCAACAATCTCTTGATACTTCAGCCTTGAAACCGACTGGTTCACAATCCCTTCCGCTTTTAAAGCATGTCCAGTTCTGATGCAAGCCTGGCCACCTCTTACTGACTGATCTGATGATTTCTGTAGCTCCAGATGTGACTTCTCCTGTTTGTATCCCAAAGTGATAACTGTTATACATTTCTTCTAGACAGTGCTACGTCTGAAAGACAACGTAGTAAGCCAAGCGACTTTCTGCTGTAATTGTTAGCCTTGCTATCCATCTTTGTCATTGCAACTGTCTTAACCTCCTCATACATCTTTAGCAACCAGTACAGTGTGAAACAATGATCTATCTTATCCAGGCCTCTTTCAGTTGCTTCAACACCAACCCTGCCATGTGTTTATCCAAATAATCTACTGTGTAGGCTTTCTCTAAGCTTCAAATATGCTTCTCTACCATTTCTGGGATACTGTCCCCCTCCACATTGAATGATATCCGGTCATTCCCCACTCCTTTATGAATAGAAAGGCCATGTTTTTGTCAGTTTGTATATGCAGCTGTCTAAAAAAATATTTCTAATACCATTCATGTAGCCGCCCAACGCTGGCAATCTCACCATATCTCGTCACAATTGAGATCATCTTAAACATTGCCGTAAACAGGATGGGAAAGTTGAAACAACCCATTGCTATTCCCTTTTTCAGTTCCTGCCAACTAGTTGTGAAATGCTAAACAGCGTTTATATAACAGTGCATGCCTCTGTATTTGTATTCTGTTTCCCTTTAGGCAAAACCAGAGCACTGCAATGTCTGAGAGCTCATTTCATCAATAGCATCTAATGTTGTGGATTGTTGCGGGGAAGAGCTTGTTCCACACAGCAGAGGACTGCAGTAAATCGGTTATTATTCATATACACAGCTATCCATACTAAGCACAGATTCACTTGATGTCACCTGAAAAACTGAAAAGAAGCTTATAGTGTCGGCCTGTTGTTTCACTGAGGTAATAATTTGTTAGTTTGTTCAGATTGTTAAGTGTCGCTCCACACGTAGACGTTTGATTGATTTATTGAACACAACAACATAAACCATAACTGAGCTAAATGTCCAGAGACACTGAGCAGTAAACATGCTCAAACATCATGATAATTACTTAAGAAAATGACAGAAAAGTAAGATTTACTTTGTCACTTCTATGAAAAACAAAATGTCTGCTTTAAGTAGACAATCTAAGTGGACCTCTTTAGAAATTTAGCATGTGCTAAACAACTGTTTTCAAAGGAAATCTTCGTTGTAGACGACCTGGCTCCGTTTGTCTCTGTACGAGCCCTTGGCACTGTTCTGCACAGCTGTGAAGGATGGAGATAGAAAAGGAGAAATGGGTTAGTCAAGTGTGCAACACTCAGTCTCCTTGACAGTTTTTCCCTGTGAAATGTCCTCATTTACCAAGAGAGGCCCAGACAGATTTCCCTGTGGCGGCATCAAGCATGGGCTGCTTCCTGGCAATGCTGACTTTGATGTTGACGTCACCCACAGTAGTGCCATTCAGCTGAGAGGCAGAAAGAGTGGAAAAAGGGTTTCTTTAAGTGAATAAATAAAGGTGTTAAATCCTAATGCCTGTAAAGGGTCATATAACAGAAAACAGGATTTCCCTTGTGCATTTGTAATACAGGAATGTTGATGTACAATGTAGACTAAGCTTGAATATACACAATACAAAGCTCCACAGTCCACATCAGACTATTTATGGATGCTAAGCTGCAAACCTTGACCATTAGAGCTTGCATGACTGTAGGCGAGTGCTCACAAGTAGTATCACTTGTGTGGTCGGCTTCGAATGTACCAGAACTATTCAAATTAATTTTCGGTAATTGAAATAAAGCTGAAATAGAAGTTGATATACTAAAATTATTAAAACTGAAATAAAACAAATTAAAGCTAAATAGAAATATTTAAAAAAAAAAAGTAATATATAAAGGTCACAATTTGGATAGACAAAATATTTTTTCTGCTATGGCCTTGTATACGGCAAGTATAGAATCAAGTATGGATTACCAAAACAAATATGGATAACGACTAGTCCTTATTGACCACATGCGAAGTGAACGACTACATGTGAAGTGATTAGCCTGTCATAACTGAGGTTATTTACATATGGAAGTCTTAAAGCAGCAAAAACATGTTGAATTTAGGGTCAGAGAAAATGCATTGTAAATATAAAAATATGATGCTACAATAGTGTAGAAAGTGGCCCCATAAAGAGATTGGACCACTGACCTCTGCCACAGCTTGGTCTGCTGATTCCATCTTCTCAAAGGTCACAAAGGCACAACTGGTAAGAGACAGAGGGAAAAATAATAATAATATTTTGTTTTCCCAGACAAGTTTGGGGTTAGTACGATTTTTTTTTTAAAGAAATTATACTTTTGGCAAGGATACAATAAATTGATCAAAAGTGACAGTAAAGACGTTTATGAGGATACAAAAGATTTCTATTTCAAATAATTGCCGTTTTGAACTTTCTATTTGTCACAAAAATCCTGAAAAAAATGTATCAGTTTCCACAAAAAGAATTAATAGGCACAGCTGTTTTCAACATTGATAATAATAAAAATGTTTCTTGAGCAGTAAATCAGCATATTTGAATAATTTTCTGAAGAATCATTTGACTGAAGACAGTAATGATGCTGAAAATTCAGCTTTGCCATCACAGAAATCAATTACGTTTTACTATATATTCAAATAGAAAACAGTTCTTTTAAATTGTAATAATATTTGACAAAATTATTGTTTTTACTGTATTTTTTAAATTGTGTTTTTAGCCTTAAATTAAAAAAAAAATCTTACTGACCCCAAACTTTTGAATGGTAGTGTTCTTGTGTATCCCTGTAAATCTACCATTACAAAAGATAAAACTTAGAATTAAAACTCCTAGTTTTAATTATAAGTCACTAGACATCACTAATTCCTAGTGATGTCTAAAATTACAAAATATACTAGATCCTGGCTCAATTTATTCCTGTTTCAACCAAATCAATCCTATACGCTTTTCTATAGACAATCAAGTGAGTAGGTTCCTCCCTTTCCAAATGTCCAATAGGATCAGAAAACAATCGTACTTGCGTGGTGAGTCCATTGAAAGGTCGATGATGTTGCCATGCTGAGCAAAGGCTGAGCGCAAACTGTCTTCCACTAAACCTGTGCCGTATACATACACTGTGTTTCCTTTGCGCACCCCTCTGCGCTCTGGATATGAGTCTGACCCTGAACAACATTACAGAAAATAATTAGACTTCCAGATTTTCAACAGAACAAAGCTTATTATCATTAAGTATTACAAAACGCATATCCATGAAATATGAATAAACATTGCAATACAACAATATGAATTATTTTAAATCAACTTACTGTTTCACAGATTCACTTACGTCTGTAGGGTCCGTCCCGCTCTCTGTCTCGTTCTCGGTCTCGTTCTCTGTCCCTGTCACGATCTTTGTCCCTGTCTCTGTCCCTTTCTCTATCCCGGCTCCTGTCTCGTTCACTATCCCGATCTCTCTCCCGGCCTCTTTCACGGTCCCTCTCTCTGTCCCGGTCTCTGTCTCGATCTTTCTCCCAGTCTACCTCTCTTTCCCGATCCCGCTCAGGATCTCGAATCAACATCCCTCCCTCATCATCACGAGATCGATCTCCAGGAACAAAACTGTGGGACAGAAAAAAACAGTCTAATATTCGACTTTCTATGATGGTTTATATTATTCTTTACACTGAGTCTGACAGTCTCACCTCTCATACAGGGATTTCCTGTGGGCCCGTTTAGCAGACTACAGCGAGAAGAAACAACATTATGTAAAGTCAAGTTTACGGACACATCCAACGGGCAAAAAAAGTCACTGTTTAGAATTAAATAGGCAAATGCTTAAGACATAGCAATGCATAGACTTGATTGGATCATTACTGCAGTGATTATTATCTTTGAAGCATTTCATATGTTTGGCAACAGTTCTTCTAACCCTAACTGATGTTAGTGTGTAGCTTTTAATTTCTTAAACTGTATGAAGACACATTATGGCCATATTCCAGGAAGACAATGTCAAGATTCATCAGGCTCAAACTGTGAAAGAATGGTTGGGAGAGAGCATGAAGAATCATTTTTACACATGAATTGGCACCTCTGAGTCCAGACCTTAAATTATTTGAAAGTCGTGCTGGAGGAGACTTTACAGAGATACAAGATCAATGCAAGATCTTGTGGAAATAACATCACAACATTTATTTCCATCAATAGGTCCATCAATTAGAGTTAGAACAACTGTTGCCACCACTTTATAAAAGCTGTAAGCCACATAAGGAAGTGCGTTACGGCCATTTTACCACAGTTAAAGGGGCTCTGCTTGATGCTGTGGCTAATAAATCACTGAAATGTACAGCCGTGAGTAGATCATTTCTACAGTGTAAACCAACATTACATCAGGAGGCTCCTCATCTGTAGAGACGCTCCTTTGAAATGGTAGGAATGCTGGAGCAGGACCTTTCTCAGGATCCTGGGAAATAAAGAAACTCCATAAATAGCTATGTATGACAGAAAAAGTATGACATTAATGAGGTTAAAAAAAAGCATCTTACTTTAAGTTTACCCTCGAGTGTTCTGGAGCGCTTGAAGCCTGAGTTCTTGTTTTCTGATTTGATGGCACTGATGGCTCCAGACTTGATCAGCATTTTCGCTTGCTCTGTTGCTGTCGCTGTGTCCACCACTGGCTGATCTGACAAAGCTTAACAGAGACAGCGAGATCATTCGTAGAGCACTGATTTCATCTGGAAATTCCAGAGATCCACAGATTTACTTACTGCGCTTCAGTCCTGTCTGACTCGTCTGATTTGTGGAGCTCTGTTTCTTCAGAGCCATTAGGGCCTTTTTCTACATAAAGTGAAATAAAGGTAGACAAAATAACATGTAAAATGGATAGTTTATATATCACATACATGCATATATGAGTATTTTATGGAAGCCGATTTCCGCAACGCAAGAAAAATAATCATGCTTTGGTAAAAGTCATAATTATAACAAAAGTAATAAAAAATGGTGACATCCTAAGTCATAATTATGAGTCATAGTTATGACTTTTTATGTGATAAACGTCATAATTATGAATTAGTATGCCATAACTATGATTTACCGATGCATGTTTTTTTTTTCTTATATGGTGAAATTGGACTTCAGTAGTATTTTGTCTTGCTCATTATTATATGAGCCATTTTGGCTTTATTTTTCTTAAATAAACAATGACAAAGTGTAATATGTCATGTGCTGCTGTTCATCTGAGGTTGTATTTACCTCATTTAAATACCAGATTTTTTTTTATATGCCCTGATACGTAAAACCATAGAATTCAAAAGGGTGTTCTTTCTTTTTCACATGACTGTATATATACACAGAGTAGTCAACATTTGAAGTGGTTCAAAAAAGTTAATCAAAGTTGTCCTAAGACAAGAACGGATATTGTTCAAAATCATGTAACTTTGATGAAAGGTTTTGTTCCACTTCAAATGTTGACTACTGTATAATTGACACAACATTGAATCAACTGACTTGAGCTAAAAAATTACATTATTGTCCTCTGCAGAGATGTTTTACAGCTGAAAATGCTTCATGACTGATACATTTTGCAACATTAACACAACACTGTTTTTTTTTTTTTACTGTGAATCTACTTTGAAACTGTTTGTATTGTCTAAAGCGCAGCAAGCGCTATATAAATAAATGTGACAATGTGACTTGACTTGAGCAATTTTTGGTTACAGAAAATTGGTATATTGAAAACAGTAACTATAGTTTTTCACCTTTTTCTTTAATTTGGCATATTTCTTCTGCAATGCTTCCTCATCTTCTGTTAGTGAGCTGGGAAATATCGCCATTTCGATGGATCTGAAGAGAGAATAACAACAGTAATATGTTACAACAGATGTCCTTTCCAGTCAATGCATCACCTTAACACGTTATCGATGTTTCCGTTACATAAGGCTTTTAACAGTTTTCATTAAAAAAATGTAAACTGCATAAAAGACGCTACTTTATATTTAATTACCGTGAATTCGAAGGATGAATTTATAAGAATGAACGTCTGCAGTTTTCCTTATTCGGCGCGCGAATGTGACGTCATCTACTATCTTCCGAGGATCCAGTCAAAACAAAACAAAAATGTCCATACCTATTTTTTTATTTTACCCATTTTAAATGTGTTAAAAACGGAAATTTATTTTATATCACGCACATAGACCGTTATGTTGAAAAATACTAAATAGAAATAATATTAATAAAAAAAAAAAAACTTCCGTCCCTTTAGTTCTGCGCAGCTTCCTGCAGGACTGAAACTTTACTGAAGAACTGCAGGGTAACATGGACAAAATAGGTATGAAATATATAACAGTACTGTTTTTATTTGTAATTCTGCGTGATTTCCTGTCGCAGTATAATAATATCACCAGCAGCCAGCTCAGCATTTACCTGCTTTGTGTCATAAGTCGCTCATATTACAGCCAGCTCAGCAACTATATTGTAAACTACATCATCTGACAGTAATATGGCCCTAGATTGTAGTCTTTGCATTTGCCTCTAATTGCAGCGGTACTGATGAACTGCTGTTTTCTTCTGTCTGTAGATTTGCCCCCAGTTGGTCCTAATGATTTGCCCCTGTCTCTGCTTGAGATGGGCTGCTCAGGGAGATTTGAGCTCATCACACACCCACTGCCCAAAAACAAACCCTTGCCTCCACACAGCACAGTTAGTCATTTATTAATACTAAAATAATAACACATGTGTGTGAGCTAATATTTATATTTAAGTAACACTTTTTGTATTCATGCTGTTTTACATTCTTTAATCTTTTTCAGCTCCCTCATGGGCTTCCTCCTACTTGTCTGGACTTAAAAACAGAGGTAGAAAAGCGTTTTCTGCGAGATCCTGCTTGGCTCCCAGTACATGATGTAGATGATGCCTTCCACAAGTTCCTTAAGTATGAAATGAGACGTATTCAAAAGATAGCGCTTGTCTTTGTAACATGTATTTCATATCTTTAATTAGTTTTGCCTATTACAAATGTGTCCTTTAGGATAAGTAAGAGGGACAAAGAGGTGGACTCTCTCCTGCACTGCTCCCTGTCTCCACTGCACTCTGGCCTGTCTGTGGTCAGAGATCCCACCACCGGTATGCTGCTGGATTTCACTGAGGTAACACGGGAAAACATCTACTACATTGTGTTTATTTTCCTATTCCAGCTTAATATTAAAAGATAGTTTGTTATTGGCAACTAAAACTATATAAAAATAATTTAGGTTAATTGAAATAAAGCTGAAATAAAAAAAGTAAAACTTAGTAACTTAAAACTTACAAAAATGAGTAATGTTGTAGTAAAATTACTAAAACTGAAATAAATATAAAATGGTAACACTGAAATAAATATAAAATGGTAACACTGAAATAAATATAAAATGGTAACACTTTACAATTAAGTCTCGTTACTTAACGTTAGTTTAATAATTCTTTATCTTACATTAATGAACATTGAGCAAAACATTTGTTACAGTTTTCCTTAATCTTTGTTAATGTTTGTTAATAAAAAAACAGAACTCAGGTCCATTAAATAATATGAGCAGATATCATTTTTTATTTTAATAATGTATAAGTAAATATTGAAATTAACATTAAATAAGATTAATACATGCTTTAGAAGTGTTTTATTTATGTCCATGTTCATTAATGTGGTTAATTAATGTTATCAAATGGAACTTTATTGTAAAGCTAATTAAAAAAATATTTTAATACAAATCCAAAAACTATTATAAAGCACAAAAGCACCTAACAAAATTACTAAAACTTAAACTTAAAATAAAACTAAATGTATATATTTATAAATGAACAGAATAATCCTGATAAAATAACACTAGGTTGATTTTGCAAAGAAATTTTTATTTCTTTAAAATAATACTTTGTTTATTTGAATGTCCCAACATCTTCTCAATCAACCAGGGGTGTCAGTTTGAGGCGGGGCTATTTGTTTGCCCAGCCAATGGAAAGCTGTCAATGGAAAGCAATCATTATTTTTGCTGTTTGCCCGAAATCACAGAAAATGTTCTTGCAACTTTTCATAATGTATTATAATTGTTGTTGTTGTTTTTTCATTATGTCAGGTGTTATTAGAGGACACGGGGTTGTCTGCAAAAAATTCTCTCTCATTACAAAGACAGCCCGGACCTCCGTCAGAGAGCCTGAGAGGGAGTAACACAAACTATCCTTTTCTGCCAGGTGCGGGGGTTCATATTTAAATAAATGTCTCATAATTCTGTTTAAAAAAGATCCTGTTTTTAAACTCTGCTGTCCCTTGTACAGGCGGAATGGAGGAACTAACGTTAGAGCAGATTAAGAAAAAGTCAGAGCTGGAAGAAGACATTGACTTTGAGAAAGGTTGGTGATCTCATCTGTTTTGTTTTTCTCAGTACACAATCATTTGTGAGTGTGAGAGAGACAGAAAAATAAACTGTGAACTGTGTTTGTTTCTTGTCTTAGATTTGTTGACGGTTCCTCCAGGGCTGAAGGCTGGTATGGACTTCAGTGACAAAGGTCTGGTTTCATTATTGTTCTCCCCATGTGTAGTACCATGTCATCATCCCACTTTAGGTTGTGCATTTCAATCCAAAACTGTGCTCTTTTAATCTCTTTAGAAGCCAGAACCATGAAGAGTGAGGTGAACCTGCTGTCACTCCTGTCGACATTTGATGATGTCCTTGACGCTCTGCCAGAGGAGAAAGAAGGAGCGTCACAAAAAGAGGAGACCGTTAAACTTCCCAGAACTAACAGCCTGGAGGACCTGGGAATTAAAGTGTGTATAACTTTGAGAAATGATTCTTAAGAACCCAACCCATAGTTGTGTTTGTTTAGTCATTTTAAAGATATGTTCTCCTCAGGATTCGAGCAACACTCCTTCTCAGCCTCCAGCGAACACTGTAAGTCTGACTGAACAAAAGAAGAAACCTCAGGAGGAAGACAAGGGAGACAATAAAAAATGGGCCATTCCTGTGGATATCACCTCACCCTGTGACGACTTCTACAAACGTATCCCTAATCCAGCCTTCAAGGTCAGAACTCAGTATATGCACATGATATTTAAAGGGGTCATATAATGCCATTTTCATACAAGTTTATTTGATTCTTTAGGGTCTAAATGAAAAGTTTGTAATATACTTTAATTAAAAATTCTCATTAGTATTGTAAGAAAACACTCATTTTGAAAAAGTGCATATACTACCATTATATGACCCCTTTAAGATTTCACTGAAACAAAGGTTTGTTTATTTGGGTTGTTTTTTCTCAATTCCTGCCCCATTCTCAGTATCCCTTTGAGCTGGACGTGTTTCAGAAGCAGGCTATTCTCCGACTCGAAGCTCATGACTCAGTCTTTGTTGCGGCCCACACCTCAGCTGGCAAGACCGTGGTGGCTGAATACGCAATTGCACTTTCCCAGAAACACATGACCAGGTGTGTATGTGAGACCCAATGTCTACTGATTGCATAACTTTCCTTTTTTATGTTTTTTGAAAGAAGTCTCTTATGCTGACCAAGGCTGCATTTATTTGATTTGAAATACAGTAAAAAAAAAAAAAGTAATATTGTGAAATATTATTACAATTTAAAATAACTGTTTTCTATTTGAATATATTTTTAAATGTAATATATTCATGTGATGGCGAAGCTGAATTTCCAGCTGCTTTTAGAAATCTTTTCTGATTTGCTGATCATTTCTGAAATCTGCTGTGTAATATTTTCGTGGAAACATCATTCTTTGATGAATGGAAAGTTCAAAAGAACAGCATTTGTTTGAAATAGAAATCTTTTGCAACATAATAAATGTCTTTTGCAGTCACTTTTGATCAATTAAATGAACCCTTGGTTAATAAAAGTATTAATTTCATTAAAAAAATATATTTTTTAAAAAGTGTACCTACAAACTTTTGAAAGGAAGTGTACATTTTAAATCAATTTTCATTTATTTTCAATTGTGATAATTTGTTTAATCATGTTGATATAAAGCTCTTTTTGAATTACCCTTGTGTATGAAATGTGCTACATCTAAACTTGCCTTACTGTGACATTATATTTATGGCCCTCACTAATATGGCTGTTCCTCCTGACAGGACCATTTACACATCCCCCATTAAGGCCTTGTCCAATCAGAAGTTCCGGGACTTCAAGAACACGTTCGGTGACGTGGGACTTTTGACTGGAGATGTCCAGCTGAATCCTGAAGCCTCTTGTCTCATCATGACCACTGAAATTTTGAGGTGATTATACAATAGAAAGCCTTCATGTCAGTTACTTATAATTCTTAGTTTGTCATGTGAATGAATTTTTTGACTATCTTTGTCAATCGGTATGTCTTCCTCCTAACAGATCTATGCTCTATAACGGGTCAGAGGTCATTCGAGATCTGGAATGGGTCATTTTTGATGAGGTTCACTATATCAATGATGCAGAGGTGATGAATTCACCAAAAAAAATCTAGTTCAGTTTTGCTTTTCTCTTTACTGCATTCAGATCTCATATGCTGTTGTTGTTTCTCAGAGAGGAGTGGTGTGGGAGGAAGTGCTCATCATGTTGCCAGAACATGTTAGCATCATCCTGCTGAGTGCCACGGTGCCTAACTCAGTGGAGTTCAGTGAATGGATCGGGTGTGTGTATATTCTTAAAGCCATGAAACTGAATTTTACCCTGCTTTTAAAATTGTATAGATCATATAGTTTTAGTGTGCTTTCTCTTTCCTCAGGCGAATCAAGAAACGGCACATCTATGTGATCAGCACAATTAAGAGGCCTGTTCCTCTAGAGCACCATCTCTACACCGGCAACAGCACCAAGACTCAGAAAGAGCTCTTCCTGTTGCTGGACCCCTCTGGAAACTTCCTCACTAAAGGGTATATTCCTGGGCGGTTATTTTGATAGTGTTTATTTCTGTAAATAAAGGGAAAGATCAATTTTCAGCAGCCACTACTCCAGTCTTCAGTGTCACATGATCCTTCTAGAAATCATTCTAATATGTTGATTCGCTACTCAAGAAACACTTTTTTTATTATTATCAGTGTTGAAAACAGTTTTGCTGGCAGTGTTGCCTAATATTTTTGTAGAAACTGTGATACATTTTCA